CCTCTAGTAATATATTTACTGAGATGTGTTCAATACTTATTTTACCTACGTATGCTGTGTTTTTGGGAAATTGTAGTCGCTGAGTTTACTATTTTATACTACTTCTGTGATATTACTACTACTTCTACTTCCTGTTATCTTCTTCATCATCGTCTTTTTCACCAGTAGAAACAGACGGTTGTTGATCACGTGACTCCTGTGATGTGAAAAAACGTTTCCATTGCAGTTTTGCGAAAAACACCAATTTCTGTACGACCGAAAAACCACCTCATCCTAGTGCAAAAACATTGTCGAAAAACGTCATTTTTTTCCCGAAATTGATGTTTCCTTTGAGCAAATTTATTTTCGAAATTCTAATTGCGCATTTTCATGGTCAATGGAAACGCAGCTACAGTCAGGTAGTAAATAATCATGTTATATGGGCAGATATTGCATAAAATTGATTGCAGATTTATGAATTGAATTGAATCAAAATCATATCCTGAGACTTTGTGATATTGAGAAACATTGTATTGTCATCAAAACAAAGCAGTACAGTATTGTGTTGTGATAAAGCTGATTTACACCCCTAATCCTGACCAAAACTGGCAACAAAACACATTTCAGAAAACAAATTTTAACAATAACAGCATTTAAACTTAATGAACTTAAAAACATTTGTGTGCATTTTTCGGTAAAACTGTCCTTAAACTGTGTTAAGATCCAACCAGGGCTTTAAAAGAATCCCACGTCTACATTAGGTTTTTGTTTGTGCTCTGAAGCAGGGGCTGTTGGCGTACAGAAAACACATTTCCAGCTTGTTTTTCTGCTTGATTGACTTGCTAAATGGATGTGCCATTATTTGACAGCTTTACCGACTTACATTATTAGTGCTGGTTTCTGAGGCAACAAGTCACACTGACTAACAGACTCGTTGACCTACAGGTTTACTGTCTGCTGTGACCATTTGTAGCAGTCATTACAAATAATTACCCTTAATTATTGTTGTTCTCAGCATGTGCCTGCCGTAAAAGAGCAAAGTAACAACGTGTCCGCAGCGATAACAGAACTATCTGAGCTGCTCATCGCTGCTGGTTTATCTGACCCACACCTGCGTAAACAGGAAGTGAGACAGGTGTGGAAATCAGCTCGACTTTATTCAGCTGCTGGATGTCTGTCATAAATTCTAGTAACAGTAAAACTCATTTAAAACAAGAGAAAACCAGTGAAGTGTGCATGAGCAGACCTGTCTGAACGTGGAGGGTAAAGTAGTTTAGTGCCTAATCTAAAGACTGGTTCCCGTGCYGTATAACCCAGATTACCACAGCAGACACACGGAGATGTTGGAAGAGGGTCGACCTTTTAGTTTAGGAGCTAGATTTTTATGTTGCAATCAGGCCTCCAGCCAGCATTTGATTAGGATAAAATGAGATTTAAGTGACTCCTTTTGCTAAATTCAAGGACTTCAGCACATTTTAGAAATCAGCGGAGAAAAGTGTGCTTTGAARGGAACGGAGAGAGATTTAAAACTTATCAGTTCAATCATTTGTAGATGAGATGTTTTAAAGTGCTTGTTGGTGTATGGAAGACACACACTTCCTCCCAACATCCTGTATTGGGTTGTACAACAACTCTATAAAATCATTTCTTCATAAACACAAATGTACTCTTGCATGAAAAAGGTTGGAATTAATCTGAATGTTTAGGGCTTAAAGTTGGGGCTGAACAGAGTTGTGGATGTGGAGAGTCATTAACCTCTGATATTAAAGTGAGTGAAGTTGTCATTATCTCAAAGTAACTCGTTATTTGTTTTTATTTTCCCCTCCCTCCTCCTGTCAGATGATGAAGCACGCTTGGGATGGCTACCGGCGCTACGCCTGGGGTTCCAATGAGCTCAGGCCTGTCTCCAAACAAGGCCACTCCAGCAATTTATTTGGTGAGCAGGAGACCACACACACACACACACACACACACACACACACACACACACACACACACACACACACACACACACACACACACACACACACACACACACACACACACACACACACACTCTTCCTGCCACCAGCAGCCTTGACCTTTAGATTAGCAGCTAAATTAGCCATCACTTAGCGCCGTCCGTCCACACACACTTCTAAATGTCAACTTGATCATATTTACATTGTGTTTGTGTGTCTTACCTGTTTGTGTGCAGCTGTTGGCGTTAATAAGTGTGACAGTTTGTAACTGTCTTCTTTCAAGTACTGACAGACTGCAGGTTTCACTCCGATAGCCGCAGGTTGTTGATATTACAAAGGTGTGTTGAATCAAACTTTGAGTAWTGTGTGTCACCACTGCAGGGGTATGTGCATCATATGTTTTATTTTAGGGCTGTGCCACTGCAGGCCTTTGATAAAATTCCCTTCATGTTTGAAGGAGCTGATAAGGAAGCACCAGAACACACCCACGGTTGTTCTCAGGGCTGTTTTTTACATGATGCTTTGAGTTACTGGGGCCCYGTGTTGTCAGGAGAAAATGTACTTTTTGTATTTGTTTTTCCTCCTTTCTGTAAGCTGTATTTATTAGATTTTAAAAGAAAATGCATGTAATTAACAGAACATAGACTCTGAAATGGATCTGATGGCTGAGTGAAAGTCAAGGACATAATGAAAATGATGAAGATGCTTATGATTTTGGCCTTAAAGCTACTGTAAAAACTATAAAAGAACACATTTTCACCTCATGAAACGCTCAGTGGAGGGATTTTAGTAAACCGAACACACATTTCCATTCAATTCAATTCAAATTCAAAAATAATTTATTGATCCCAGTGGGAAATTTGGTAAGTTATTTGCCAAGTTAGTAGATCTGAGCCAATATTACCCACTTCTTTATTTTTATTTTACTTAATGAACTTTGACTCTTAACTGGTAAAATATCTGTGTCTAACCTGTAAAAACTTTTCTCTTGGTTTGGAATGTAACAAAACATTTATCCACATTGATATATCGAATAAATGATTAATGATTCAGTTACATAGGGGCAAAATGAAAAACATTGATTCATATCGTCATCATATACCCGATGTGGATCATATGCCTATTTAGCACAATCGTTTATGCTAGATGATCGTATGATATCAAATTGAAATCGTATCGTGACAGACTTTGTGATATCGAGAAATACTTTGTCCAAAAAAATCAATATAAAATCAAATCATGATAAATCTGGTGATTTACACCCTCTACTCTTACTGTATTTTAGATTAGTTTTTATTTGATTGATTTGATCACACCTTTATTGTCATTGTACAGAGCACAGTGAAATTACATTTAAGAACACCCATTCAGAAGACACACATGACAAAAACATGGGGGAAAGGTGAACAGGTCATGCGGTAACCAGCAGGGGTCGCACTATCTTTAAAAAGAAAAACAAAATACCMCACAAGGATAGATGAGGGGGGAAATCATATTGTATCAACAAAATGTGACACACTATGGTGTGTATAGAGCAAGAACACATTTATTAGCCATAGGAGTACATTGAGTTTAGAGGGCGTGTATCTGAAGCCATGAATGTTGAATACACTTGTGTGAATATCTGAAGAATGAGTCCGAAGAATCTAGCCCCCCCCCCCCCCAAAAAAAAACATAGTTTAGCCATAGTTCAGAATAATGATGTTGAAATTGTTCATTCTGTGGGCCCTTCAGCTTGTCCTTCAGGGACCAGATTACAGACTGGAGTGGGGGAAGGTGGGAGCCAAGCCACAAGTCAACGTAAACACCAGGAGGAAGTAGATCCACAGACTTTCAAAGCCACGTAGAGGGGAGAGCCAATTCGTAAACAGTTGTTTGGGAACAGAAGAAAATGTTTTCTGTCAGGCAGAAAATAATAATTTTCCATCTGCCTTAATGTCCGCTGCTACATCTCAATGTGGCAACTCAATTTAGACAAATAGTGTGGGCAATCCCGCCAGCTATCACCTTCTCCAAGATCAATTCCATCTGGTCAGCAAAGTCCAGGAACCACAGCCGGCCCACGGCCCTCAACAGAACTGCTTGCAGACCGAGTCCAGATTGCTCAAGACAAAAGTCTGAGTGCTGATAGAACGGCAATCCTTCATATCGGTCAGGCAGCCAGGAAATGGCCTGAATAGCCACTGGCGCTGTTTTGTAGAACACCAGGAGACCACCAAGCCAATCTGTAGAATCCAGTGATCAGAATCCAAATATATATCCAAAACAGAGGTCCCACCTTTGACATGTCCTCCCATGGAAAAAAAAGTTTCAAAAATGTACTATTAGACCAGCTAAMCAAATCCATAAAAATAAATCCATAATTTTCAGTTTCGGATGAAAAYGTAGAGGAGGCTCCAAGCAGCAAAGCAGGGAAAGATAAGGGAAGGCAGGAGAGAAGGAAAAATATCAGATATCGATTTAAATCTGGTTATTTAGCGTTCTTTRACCAGGCAAGTCCYGTTGAGATCTCAGATCTCTCTTTCAAGGGAGGCCTGGGCCTGAAGCYATCCTATTGTACATGTTTTTAGGGGTGGGGTAAACCGGAGTACCTGGAGAAAACCCACACAAGCACGAGGATAACATGCAAACTGCACACAGAAAGACCCCAGGTCTGAACCGGGGATCGAACCCAGGACCTTCTTGCTGTGAGGTCTCGGTGCTAACCACTGGTTGAGATAACACTAAAGTGAACAAAAAACCTAAGGATGCTCTGATGATGCTGATTTCAAACACATTTTCTTTTTTTCTTCTACTTTAATTTTGTCTCTGATGTACAACAGACATTTCCCAGAATATGGCAGCCTATCAAGGCCTCTTATAGAAACAATGAAAAGAAGATAAAAAGCGGGGAGTATATAAAATAAAAGAACAGTCAAAACATCTTGGTTGCAGGTGACTAGAATCTAGAAGGTACTTTGGTAATACTGAATTTCCTCGAGTCTTTTGGGTATTGTCATGTCCATTTTCCCCTCTTAGTCATAAAGATATCTTCTTTTAGACTAAAAATAAAAATCATTCATTCCATCACATAAATTTCCTAACAATATTCATCCATTATATAAAAGGAGCTCACATCTAGTACCAGTTTCCTGTTATATCTTTCTTACAGACAACTAACAGTATGTTATTCAACTACATGTCTTTATTGAGAATGTATTTTTCTACGTTTTCAAGATACTTTGTCTTAAAATATTTTAGTATTGGGTACCCTAAAGCCTTTTCAAACTACTTTTAAGAAGTATAATGACATTTGTTAGTACTTGTAATCCGTATCGGCTAGTATTTGTTCTTTGTTTGAAAATAAAATGCGGTATCGGTTTCTCTGATAAAGAACATTTTATTTGTGGTGAAACTGTCCTGATATTTATTTTACATTACAAGTTTCCATGTTTCATATTATTCCATAAAAGTGTGTGTATTCAACATTCATGAGAGGATTGTTTGTATTAGTTGTGTCAAATGATGCTTAAGGTCTTCCTTTGAGCCTTCCTCTCATTTACTTCTCTCTTTGAGGATTTACTGTGTTCAGCCAAGATGTTATGAAAARCCACAGATTTGCTCCAGTCCTATTTTGTTTTATTGAAACACCAGAGTAACTCCTCTGGTACGTGGCCTCATTTTTCTCAGTATTTTTTCACAGCAATATTTTTATCAGGATTTTCGTCAATGGTAAACACGCCAAAAAAAATCTCCTGACTTCTGGTCCAATCTTCATTTTGCTTTGGAAATTTAGAATTTGAATAAAGTGTTGAAAGTTTTAGATCTCAGATTGGAACTCCTGATTAATGACGCCCCTCTGATGTTTAATGAGGAAAACCAATCAGCTCTGTGTATTTTGTTTGTACTATTTCATTACTGGGATATTACATGTACATGTTAGAAAAGACGGGGAAGTTGATCTACAAATAATAATTATTAGATTGAATTTTTCTGTTTTTTCTTTGTTATTCATCCCTCGTTTGTAAATGAGACATTTTGGCCTCAAGGTTTTGTCACACATTTGTTTATCTTTTATGCTCAACAATAAGTATTACCTTTGACCGTTTTAATATTTTACAGTCGAGTTTTAARAAAGTGTAACAGTTTACATGATGGGCCGATAAATCATCAACTAATCAAAAGTGTTTACAACTTGTATAATGAAAATAAGTAGGGATGCACGATATATCGGTATCGATATCGGTATCGGCCGATATTGGCAATTTTTTAGAATATCGGTATCGGTCCGATATGTAAAACTGGGCCGATRKTAACGTCCGATATTGATTTCCTACTTTTTATCTTAGTGTTTCTGTTTTGAGAGGGGAGGTGGTTGGTTGAGCGTCATCTGTTTGATCATAATAGTGATASTGACGCTGCRTAGCCAGGAATAACTGAAGTGTCAGAGGTCTGGTCAATCAACACAATACAGTAAGTCAAGACTTCCTGGTTACACATTTGAGGATTACTGGTAAACATTAAACTTTCAGTCATAAAACTCTTGTCTTTCTGTTAGTTGTTTTTTTAGTTTCCACACTCAGAAATTCTGCCTCATATTTTCTGTAAAAACAGTTCAGATATTCTTTGTAATAAAAGTTGATAGAGTGAGATTTCCTTTTGAGTTGAACCTTTAAAAATTACTTCATAGATAACCCATCTTTAAGGTTCTATAATTAGACTTAAATGTTTAAAATATAAGATCAGGACAGATTTTTACAGCTCAGACAGATGGGGCACGTTATTATCTCTACATCTCTTTTACTGCAACAAGCCTGAAAATCACATTAATGAGCTGTGGGCGTTAGCATTTATTAGCCTGTTGTGTCGATTAAAGCTGATATACATTAAGGTCTATTTCCACAAACATATTGTATTCTTCATACTACTTTTCCTGAACTGGAGCATGATTTTCTTGGGTACTATAAAGTGGATGAAAGACGTGTTAAAATTCTGA